CAGGTCTGCAGATCCTCGTCTACCTGAACAGGTGAGTCCAACAGCTTGACCAGGTGAGCAGCTGTTTCTAACTGAACTCTTCCTGCTGCTGCAGGTCAGCAGAGCAGACTCACTGCCTTCACACAGGAACTCTCTGCTCCCCACTGGAGCCTCTGCTTCTCCATAGAGCGCCCCCTGGAGGACTGAAGGAGACCCACAGCCAATCTCCCTGCAGACCACCTCTGCATCCTGCAGGTCAAAGTCTTTTTCACACACTGAGGACCACGACTGGTTGGTCTTCACCTCCAGTCTGCCTGAGCACCGGTTGGTCCCTTGAACCAGCCTGACTGAGTCTGAGGATGCAGAAAGAAAAAAGGTTTAAAATCCTTCAGAACTTTATTTTTCTAGACACACATGGAAACATCTCTGGGTTTGATAAAAATAAAGGTCAAGAAAACCAAACGAGAAAAGTTCAGAGCATCAAAGGTGGAGTGAAACCGAATGTACCTCGAATTTTATCATTCATTTTTATTTCTGTTGAATTTATCATATTTTTGGATCATAAACATGATCAGAAACTCACTAAATGTTAAACAATCTTTGTTCCTTGTGAAATTGTTAATATTTCTGTGGAATTAAAAATAAATGTGGCAAAATGGCTCAACAGCGCCCCCTAGTTCAATAAGGCCAACAACCATAACAAACAAAAGGTTTTCCTGCTATTTGCACTAAAAACAGGAAGTCCACCATTTTGGATCAAAGTTCATTTTCTGTTGATTTTCAGGTTTTGAAAATGTCTGATTTCCTTGAACTCCTCCTGGGATTTTGATGCATCGACTTCAAAGCAGCAGAGATTAAAAGTTATTAAAATGATGAGTTTTTGTTCATCTATTTGGGCTAAACTGAGAACTTTATCTGGATATTTAAATTATTTTAGTTTCCCTCTCCTCAAGGTTTCAGGTTCTTAGTTAAAGGTGACGGTTTCTCTGCAGACATCTGGAACCTGATGAAGAAACATTTTAACATAAATATGAGAGTTCAGAGTTACCTGAGCAGATTAACTCATGGCTCTCATCGCTGGTTTCATCATCAGGTAAACAGTTCCTTAATGCAGATCCTGACTTCAAACAGTCAGACTTGATCTCCCAAACTGGTCTCTTTGAAGCTTCCTCTGAATATCTTGCTGAAACAGCAGAACCACAGTCCAGTTCAGCACAAACTACAGCAGCTGAGTTCATGTCCCAGTAACCACCCCAAACAGCCACTGGTCTCCAGTCTTCCTGATGTTTCATCTCCAGTCTCCCGGCACATCGGCTGGTCTCTCCCACCAACCTGATGTTGTCTGGACCTGAGCAGAGACAGAGAGTTCATTAATGCAGGAAGTGAAGCAGTGAACAGCAGCAGGTCTGCAGATCCTCGTCTACCTGAACAGGTGAGTCCAACAGCTTGACCAGGTGAGCAGCTGTTTCTAACTGAACTCTTCCTGCTGCTGCAGGTCAGCAGAGCAGACTCACTGCCTTCACACAGGAACTCTCTGCTCCCCACTGGAGCCTCTGCTTCTCCATAGAGCGCCCCCTGGAGGACTGAAGGAGACCCACAGCCAATCTCCCTGCAGACCACCTCTGCATCCTGCAGGTCAAAGTCTTTTTCACTCGCTGAGGACCACGACTGGTTGGTCTTCACCTCCAGTCTGCCTGAGCACCGGTTGGTCCCTTGAACCAGCCTGACTGAGTCTGAGGATGCAGAAAGAAAAAAGGTTTAAAATCCTTCAGAACTTTATTTTATTAAATTCACATGGAAACATCTCTGGGTTTGATAAAAATAAAGGTCAAGAAAACCAAACGAGAAAAGTTCAGAGCATCAAAGATATGAAATCACCTGAACAGACGATCTGTACATTGAAGCTCTGATCTCTTCGTATCGACACCACAGATCCACAGTGCAGCTGTTTGCAAGCTACAGCTGCTGATGTAACGTTCCAGTTCCAGTTCCAATAATTCACTGGTTTCCAGTCTCCCAGATCCTCCTTCTCCAGTCGGCCACCACAGCGACTCCTTCCTGCTGCCAGTCTGACTTCATCAGACAGAGCTGGAAGAAACATTTACATGTTGGGTTACAACAAGCAGAGACAGATTGATGTAGGATGTGCTGACAGGATCCTGTTGATGGTGTTTATGTGATCTTCTCTTAGAGGCAGAGCTACCATGGATGGTTCTGATCACACCATCTTTATGCTGGAATGGCCTAGTTAAAGCCCAGACCTAAATGTTGTTTATGCTCTGTAGTAAAACCTGAAATGTTTTCATTATTCACCTTTTCTATCCATTTATATTTATGTCTTTACTGAGACCAACCAAAGTCAAATTCATTGTTTTTGTGTAAAAGTTGTCAAATCCAGTTGGTTCTGGTTCTGGTTCTGATTCTGGTTCTGTGTGCAGAGTGATGAGCTGGTAGATAACTTCCATCATAAAATTTCAGATGTGATTGATTGCATTGCCCCCATTAAAGTGAAGGTCGTGTCTAGTAGGAACAAATCTCCATGGAGAAATGTGCAACCAGATCTGAAGGTCTGAACGTAAATGGAGTAAAACTCAACTTTATTATGAAATCTATTAAGCAAGACTGAAGCTATCACTAAACTCTAAAACATATGAATGAAACATTCTTTGCAGAAATTATAAACATTAACAATGCTCAAGTGTTATTTGCCACAGTTGACTGGCTCACAAACCACCTGACCTGCAATGAATTCGCCAAATACGCTACAGAGAAAATTAAAAATATTAGAGGGTCAACATTCACTGCCACACAAAATCTAATATCCATGCTATGCCCCAAAAAATAACACCCACAGCTTTTCTTCAGAAAGTCCTGCCTGTCATTTCATCTGGTCTGATTCAAATAGTAACTCATGGCTCTCATCAGGCGTTTTCCCCCAGCAGTTTTCAAACCACTGATATAAAAACAACCATCTGAACAAATCATTCCTGCAGAATTACAGGCCGATCTCCAACCTTTCATTCATCAGCAAAATGACTGAAAAGCCGTTTCAACAATTAACTGCAAAACAACCGAAACACTGAGTTCCTTTAAATCTGGACTAAAACCCGGCTGGTCAGATTTGCTTTGAAACTAAATAAATGAAACACTGAACAACATTTTGATGTGTGACGACGGCACTTTGACTGAATGTACCGTTTACTGGTTTACTGAAGCACTTTGAACCGCCTTGGTGCTGAAATGTGCTTCACAAATAAACTTGATCGATTGGTTGATTGATTCTAATCTGCAGCAGGCAGTTCGACATCCTGCCTGAGACGCTCCCACGTCAGACGGAGCTCAGACGTNATGAGTTTACCTGAGACAGTGAGGTTGAGAGGCTGGCTCATAGAGGAGAAGTTATGGGAGAAAACGTAGACGTGGTAAACGCAGCGGTAGGTTCCTTGGTGGGCGTGGCCAGCAGCGGCGAACAGGAAGAGGGCGGAGTGATTAACAGCTGGCAGGGTGTGGTTCAGAGTGTAGTTAGAGGAGCTGAAGATGAGCTGGAAGGAGCCGCCTTCATACTGAGGTCTGATGGAGCACATGATGCTGAAATCTGAGCCAATGAGGAGCTCAGACCCCTGCTTTCTGGCTGTGGAGACCCCGTCAGTGGAGGAAGAGAGGAAGATGAGCGGCTCAACCAGCAGACCTGGGAACGCAGAGGAAACACAGAGACAACTGGATCTAATCCGAGGTGGAAAACAAGATGGCATGCATGAGAACGAGACAGGAGCTCATCAGACTGGTTGCCAACCAGTTCATGTTGGTTCATGTTGACAACCCCCAAGACCGAGGGGCAAAAAAGCTGTTTGATATATTAGAGAGTTTTGATTTAACACAACATGTCAAACAAGCAACACACACTCATGGACACACACTGGACCTGGTTATCAGTAAGGGTGTGAATATTTCCAATGTCTCTGTAACTGATGTCGCCCTGTCGGACCACTTTGCTGTTATCTTTGAATGTTCTTTATCTGTTAACCCACTTGGACAAACAGCTACTATCACAAAATGTACTTTCACAGAAAACACAGCAGAAACATTTAATCAAATCTGCTCTTCTTCCTCGTCCTTAAGCTATAATGACGTAGATAAGTTGGTAGATGATTTTCAGTGCAAACTTTCAGAAATCATTGATTACATTGCCCCCATTAAAGTGAAAGTTGTGACTGGTAGAAAGAAATCTCCATGGAGAAATGCACAAACAGTTGAATCTGCAAGACAACTCTGCCGTAGAGCTGGACGGAAATGGCGTAAAACTCAACTGCATGTTTATTATGACATATACAAAGAAAAACTACGTAACTATCACACAACACTAAAACATGCAAGAGAGGCTTTCTTTGCAAATGTCATAAACAAAAACCTTAACAATGCTCGAGCTTTATTTGCTACTGTTGACAGGCTCACAAACCCTCCTATGATGTTACCACCTGAACTTCAATCTAATGCCGCCTGCAATAAGTTTTCCAGTTTCTTTTCAGAGAAAATTCAAAAGATCAGAGGATTAATCTGCACAGTACCAAAGCCAGTACCAATGTGGTGCCCATCAAAACAAATGCAGGAAAAATGACCCAATTTCAACTACTAAATTATAAAAACCTTGAAGAAATTATAAGTCAATTAAGCTCCAGTTCCTGCTGTCTGGATGTCCTACCCACACATTTCTTTAAGAAAGTCCTGCCTGTTGTTTCTAATGATCTGATCCAAATATTAACTCATCGCTCTCTTCAGGTGTTTTCCTCCAGGCTTTGAAAACAGCAGTTATCAAACCACTGACAAAAAAAAGAACAATCTAGACCAGGGGTGCCCAAGTCCAGTCCTCGAGAGCTACCATCCTGCAACTTTCAGATGCATCCCTGCTTCAACACACCTGAATCAAATGAATGGCTCGTTATCAGGCCTCTGTAGAGCTGATCCTGGTCTGTTGGAGTAAGGATACTTCTAAAACTTGCAGGATGGCAGCTCTCGAGGACTGAACTTGGGCACCCCTGATCTAGACAAATCACTACTGCAGAATTACAGGCCGATCTCCAACCTCCCATTCATCAGCAAAGTTATTGAAAAAACTGTTTTTAAGCAATTAAATAACTTCCTAACAATAACGAATCGCTTTGACTCCTTCCAGTTCCAGTCTGGTTTTCGTGCTCACCACAGCACTGAGACGGCCCTTGTAAAAGTGTTCAATGATATCCATATAAATATGGACTGTGGGAGAACCACAGTGCTGGTTCTGTTGGACCAGCACTGTCCAACAGTGCAGCTTTCGACACTGTGGACCACGACATTTTAGTGAATCGACCGGAGAGTTGGGTCGGACTCTCCGGTCCAGTCCTCCACTGGTTTGAATCCTACATAAAGAACAGGGATTTCTTTGTTTCAGTCAGAAACTTCTCATCAGAGAGGTCAAAGGTCACATGTGGGGTACCCCAAGGTTAAATCCTAGGACCTCTTCTTTTCAATATTTATATGCTCCCACTGGCTCAGGTTATAACAGGAAATAAGATTAGCTACCATAACTATGCGGATGATACACAGCTCTACATCACGATGTCACCAGGTGACTCTGAACCCATCCAATCACTGAATAGATGCTTAGAACAGATAAATGTGTGGATGGGCCAAAACTTTCTCCAGCTGAACAGAAACAAACTGAAGTTATTATCTTTGGACCTAAAGAGGAGCGAACTAGAATTAATGCACAGCTTCAGTTATTACAACTAAAAACCAGCGATCAGCCCGAAACCTGGGAGTAGTGATGGATTCTGACCTGAACCTTCAGAGCCACATTAAGACAGTCACAAAGTCGGCCTTCTATCCCCTGAAGAACATCTCCAGGATTAGAGGACTGATGTCTCAGCGCGATCTAGAGAAACTCATCCATGCGTTTATCTTTAGCCGCATTGATTACTGCAACAGCGTAATCAATGTTTAGTCAATCTCACATGCTGTTTTTATTTTAATTATGTAAAGCACTTTGAAATGCCTTGCTGTTGAAATGTGCTATACAATTAAATTTGATTGGTTGGTTGGTTGGTTGGTTGGTTGGTTGGTTGCCATGATTTCTAGCATGTTTATACAGGGTTACTAGCACCTTTATGACAGATCTTTAGTCTGTCAGTAATATCTAAACCATTTTTAGTTTCCCTCTCCTCAAGGTTTCAGGTTCTTAGTTAAAGGTGACGGTTTCTCTGCAGACATCTGGAACCTGATGAAGAAACATTTTAAAACGCAGAAATATGAGAGTTCAGAGTTACCTGAGCAGATTAACTCATGGCTCTCATCACTGGTTCCATTATCAGGTAAACAGTTCCTTAATGCAGATCCTGACTGCAAACAGTCAGTGAAGATCGACCAAACTGGTCTCTCTGAAGCTTCCTTTGTTTTTCTTACTGAAACAGCAGAACCACAGTCCAGTTCAGCACAAACTACAGCAGCTGAGCTCTTGTCCCAGTAACCACCCCAAACTTCCACTGGTCTCCAGTCTTCTTGATGTTTCATCTCCAGTCTCCCGGCACATCGGCTGGTCTCTCCCACCAACCTGATGTTGTCTGGACCTGAGCAGAGACAGAGAGTTCATTAATGCAGGAAGTGAAGCAGTGAACAGCAGCAGGTCTGCAGATCCTCCTCTACCTGAACAGGTGAGTCCAACAGCTTGACCAGGTGAGCAGCTGTTTCTAACTGAACTCTTCCTGCTGCTGCAGGTCAGCAGAGCAGACTCACTGCCTTCACACAGGAACTCTCTGCTCCCCACTGGAGCCTCTGCTTCTCCATAGAGCGCCCCCTGGAGGACTGAAGGAGACCCACAGCCAATCTCCCTGCAGACCACCTCTGCATCCTGCAGGTCAAAGTCTTTTTCACACACTGAGGACCACGACTGGTTGGTCTTCACCTCCAGTCTGCCTGAGCACCGGTTGGTCCCTTGAACCAGCCTGACTGAGTCTGAGGATGCAGAAAGAAAAAAGGTTTAAAATCCTTCAGAACTTTATTTTTCTAAACACACATGGAAACATCTCTGGGTTTGATAAAAATAAAGGTCAAGAAAACCAAAGGAGAAAAGTTCAGAGCATCAAAGGTGGAGTGAAACCGACTGTATCTGGGATTCATTTTAAATTTTACCCAGTTGCTAACGTTTGTCCATGACATCCAATGCATCAGATCCACACTAAGAAGTTTACTGGAAGTTTCCTGGGCTGCAAACATGATATGGAAATAATCCATTACCAGGCACTGTTAGATGAAGTCACTCCATCAGGTTCATACGCATATTGTGCACAACACAGAGAGCATATAAGACGATCAATAGTGAAACATTTCTGATTGAAAACTCTTGTGCATGTGTAACATAGTTAAAATGGTTCAGGTTAAATCCTGCTGAAATGCTGGTAAAAAGTTGTATTGCATTCACCCTAGAAAGAGTGGGGTATTATGGGTAATCCTCAGAGCCATGAGGATCACCGACAAGGTAACGTGTCTCTGCCATCCATCCATCCATTTTCTTTACACCCTTGTCCCTTAGTGTGGTCGGAGTACCTATCTCTAGCTAACGTTCTGGTCGAGAGGCGGGGTACAGCCTGGACAGGCTGCCAGTCTGTCACAGGGCAACACAGAGACACACAACCATGCGCACACGAGGGCCAGAGGCGCAAAAAGTGGGTATGCAGCGTATGCAACGCATAGGGGCGCAGCACCAGAGGGGGCGCAAAAACCCCGTCTGGAGGGGGCGACATGCCGATTATGTTTTCCCATACACTTCAGCGCGCTTCACGCTCCTTCACCTCTTGCACATAACGAGGTAAATGTAGCGATTTCTACACTTCACGCAGCGTCGCCTGGGGGGGAAGGAGGTGGGGTGAGTGTCGCTCCTTCACCCTGACGTTGCTTCCCTTGGGGGCTGATTTATGTTTTCGCATCCACTTGAATAATGTGCAGTTGCGCCACTGACTAAGGCTTGTTGAGAAAATAAATTTAAAATAAGCTAGTTTTAAAACTTAACATGTCTTGACTCAAATGCCCTAATTGTGGTTTTGAAATTAGTAATGTATTCTGGCCTATTGACCTTTAATTTACCTGTAGTTCCAGCAGATGGTTTGCTAGGATCGTTTGAACTGCCTTTTGTCTGTGTGGGAAAACAATACAGTAGAAGTTGTAGCTTTTCACACTCATCTGTGAAAGGCCGTAAACACGGCAGGGGTTTCTGGCTTAATAGAGGGTCAGAGATAGCTCCTGGTTGGAGGAGCAAAGATACGCCTTATTTGAATAAATTAAAGATAAGAATACGCCTTTTACTATAAAACTTTCTACACAGAAGTAACACATTAGATTTGCTCTTGCAACTCTCCAAAGATGTCTTTGCACGTCTTTGCTTTTCTTCTTCTTTCCATTTATGTCAGGTAAATGAATGTATGTCTCTGTTGTTCTGCAGTTTCTGGTGTAAGTTTATGCATTGTCTTATATTGGATTAAACTCTGTAATTCTGTGATGTCAACACACATTGTTGTTTTCCTTGTGGCCACACGTGGCCCGCCGAGAGGACCTGGGATCCAGAGGAAGAGAGAGAGCCAAACTTTTTCCAAAGATAACCTATTTTTAGGAATTTCTTCCTTAACAGGCTGTATAAATAAATCAATTTGGCGATATATATCGATATTTTCCGCCCTCGGAAAGTATCGATTTTTCATCCGTATCGATCCGTTAAACCATAGGGGTCCATAGCCTGACAGCTCTTTTTAACGTCTAGTTTGTTACGGCATAGCAGCAAGACTCCGCCTCCCTCAGTCTAACGTTCAACTCGAGCTTAAAGTGCACATTATAAACTACACACCAGTTTTTAAATTGTGCTAATAGGCCAAGTATAACCGGAGTTATGCTAAAATTAGTAAACCATATTTTTCAGAATGTCAGAGAAATGTCAAAAGCGCCGCCATTCCCCGGCTGTTCCGATTATGAAAGGGAATGAGGTCCAAACGTACAAAACGAAACATTAGATTCCTGTGTTTTTGGAAATGTAAAATCTTCAATAAATAACAATGGGCTGCATTTTGTTGCTGAGAAACGAAGTAAAGTTGCGCAAGTAACCGTGAAAGAGAAACGGAACGGAGAAGCGGCAAAAGCAGTGAAATCGCGAAATTAATGCAAATTTTGACTGGTAGCATTCACTTCGTAATTAGTTTTTATCTTAGCAGTTTCTGTTCTGTATATAAAGGATTACCTGAAGAATGAACATGGTTGATAACATCCGGGCGCGCAGCGGCGCTGTGTTTTGAGCAGGAAGACGAAGAGGAAAAACCCCCAGCCGGAATCCGCGGCGCAGTGAGGATTTCCATGATAACAATGGCTGATCGATCATTCTTATTAGCAACAGACAAAAAGTATCAGAGACTGAGAGTACTATGAGATGCTGGCAGTCTGAGAGGCAGCTACTCAGAGATCCAAGCAGGGGAATAGCGGCGCTGCGTAGCTGCAGGGAGTCGATCACTGCGGGGTGAGGCGGAGCCACGACCTTAGCAGTTAGTAGTAAGCAGCTTACAGCCAGACTAACTCCGGGAGACAAGGTAGAAAAGCCTTTTTCCCCATAGTCCAAAAGACTGCATGTGTGGCTGCATTTTTACTCCAAAATGCAGCCACAGTGTCCAAAAGAAAAAACATTTGCATATTGAGAGTCTACAGAGGCTGATAATCTCCCCACTCTGCTCCTGGATTACCGTTTTAACTTTTGAGTTTTATGTCAAATCCACATGAATTAAATGACAAACTAATTCTCTCACTGCGTCTTTGATTAATTTTGTCCAGCTGCAGACTGTTAGACTGTCCAATCAGAGTCAGGTATTGTGTAGTTGGTGCTTTTAATCAGTTTTCAGTTAACTAAATTCAAGTCTATGGAACACAAAATGTCACTAAAATCACTCTGTCCTTCAAAAATCTTTCAGAAAATCGTAAAAATACACTGAATTGTATTGCTCAACAAATATTGTGATATACCATGACTAGAATATCATATCATGAAATTATTGTATCACTACACCCCTAGCATACACACACTCACACCTAGGGGCAATTTGGAGAGGCCAATTAACCTGACATGTTTTTGGACTATGGGAGGAAACCGGAGTACCCGGAGAAAACCCACACATGCACAGGGAGAACAACCAAACTCCATGCAGAAAGACTGGGGCCGGGAACCCAGAACCTTCTTGCTGCAAGGCAACAGCTCTACCAACTGCGCCACTGTGCAGCCCTGTCTCTGCCATGTGATAAAGAAATATTATTTATGCATTTTGTGAAGTGTGTGTGGTTTTCGTTTTTGCATATTGTTGAAATATGTTTGGTCTGGGCGACGCTTGTTCTGTTATTATGATGTTTTTGTCGTGTTTGAGACGGTTTAGTTCGTGGGAAAGTGCAGTGGGAATTTCCCATGTGGTAACATTTTGGCTCCTCCTTGCAGGAGCTTGTTTTATGCCAGAGACTGACCGATGTGTGGAATGCAGGTATGTTTTACCAAATATCCTGTAGCAGATGTTTAACCTGAGACAGAGTTTTATATTAACAGTTTCATATAATGATATGGTTCATTTATGTTTCTGCATTGTTCTAAAATGCAAGGTTATATAAACTAAAACATAAAAATGGCATCCAGTAAATAAAATGTCAGCATTTTATTTTATTTTTCAGAACATTTTAATTAGTTACTTTATTTTCTCTGAAAAGGAGACTCACTGGTTGTTCTTTTATGTAAAACAAAATCCACTATACGATCACTGTAATTTTAAATTATTTTATTGTGGTTACGGTATTATGGGTAATCCTCAGAGCCATGAGGATCACTGACGAGGAGCTTGTTTTATGCCAGAGACTGACCTTACCTCCATGCCCGTTGTGTGAAATGCAGATGGAGAATTAAAGAAACAGCTCATGGCAACTTGAGCAGCTCCTTGTCATTCATTGCCACACCAATAGAAGCCACCAGAAACACATAGGCAGGAACAGGAAGGAAATGGCCAGGATATGAAATCACCTGAACAGACGATCTGTACATTGAAGCTCTGATCTCTTTGTATCGACACCACAGATCCACAGTGCAGCTGTCTGCAAGCTACAGCTGCTGATGTAACGTTCCAGTTCCAGTCCCAATAATTCACTGGTTCCCAGTCTCCCAGATCCTCCTTCTCCAGTCGGCCACCACAGCGACTCCTTCCTGCTGCCAGTCTGACTTCATCAGACAGAGCTGGAAGAAACATTTACATGTTGGGTTACAACAAGCAGAGACAGATTGATGTAGGATGTGCTGACAGGATCCTGTTGATGGTGTTTATGTGATCTTCTCTTAGAGGCAGAGCTATCAGGGATGGTTCTGATCACACCATCTTTATGCTGGAATGGCCTAGTTAAAGCCCAGACCTAAATGTTATTTATGCTCTGTAGTAAAACCTGAAATGTTTTTATTATTCACCTTTTCTATCCATTTATATTTATGTCTTTACTGAGACCAACCAAAGTCAAATTCATTGTTTTTGTGTAAAAGTTGTCAAATCCAGTTGGTTCTGGTTCTGGTTCTGATTCTGGTTCTGTGTGCAGAGTGATGAGCTGGTAGATAACTTCCATCATAAAATTTCAGATGTGATTGATTGCATTGCCCCCATTAAAGTGAAGGTCGTGTCTAGTAGGAACAAATCTCCATGGAGAAATGTGCAACCAGATCTGAAGGTCTGAACGTAAATGGAGTAAAACTCAACTTTATTATGAAATCTATTAAGCAAGACTGAAGCTATCACTAAACTCTAAAACATATGAATGAAACATTCTTTGCAGAAATTATAAACATTAACAATGCTCAAGTGTTATTTGCCACAGTTGACTGGCTCACAAACCACCTGACCTGCAATGAATTCGCCAAATACGCTACAGAGAAAATTAAAAATATTAGAGGGTCAACATTCACTGCCACACAAAATCTAATATCCATGCTATGCCCCAAAAAATAACACCCACAGCTTTTCTTCAGAAAGTCCTGCCTGTCATTTCATCTGGTCTGATTCAAATAGTAACTCATGGCTCTCATCAGGCGTTTTCCCCCAGCAGTTTTCAAACCACTGATATAAAAACAACCATCTGAACAAATCATTCCTGCAGAATTACAGGCCGATCTCCAACCTTTCATTCATCAGCAAAATGACTGAAAAGCCGTTTCAACAATTAACTGCAAAACAACCGAAACACTGAGTTCCTTTAAATCTGGACTAAAACCCGGCTGGTCAGATTTGCTTTGAAACTAAATAAATGAAACACTGAACAACATTTTGATGTGTGACGACGGCACTTTGACTGAATGTACCGTTTACTGGTTTACTGAAGCACTTTGAACCGCCTTGGTGCTGAAATGTGCTTCACAAATAAACTTGATCGATTGGTTGATTGATTCTAATCTGCAGCAGGCAGTTCGACATCCTGCCTGAGACGCTCCCACGTCAGACGGAGCTCAGACGTTTTCACGAACACAACCGGCGGTACCAGAAGCTGGTCCAATGACCGTGGTGCTACTGGGCTTGGTTGGCCAGCAAACGGGCCTGACCAGAACCTCAGAGAGAACCTGTGGAGTCAAGAGGAAGATTTCATGCAGAAGGAGCCATTTTATGAGGCTCCACCTGTTTACTGCACAGATTCAGCGCTGGTGCAGAGTTTCTGCTGCTTCTCCTCATCAATCAGCCAATCAGATTTATTTTATAGCTCATTTCAGCAACAAGGCTGTTCAAAGTGTTTTACATCATTCAAACACAAAAAACAACCATTCTTGGTTTTATTGGCTCCTCAGCAGCAAGTAGAAAATATAAACATCACCAACTGTGTAGCAGCAGCTCTATGATCTGAGACCAGAAACTGTTTCCACTTTTTTAGTTTGTAACATTTAACATGTTTATCAGCAGATCATTTTTAATTTGAACTCTAGTGAATATTAGTGTTTGATGAAAGTGGAGTCCTACCTGAGCTGCAGAGACACAGAAGCAGCATCAGAGCCGTTTGCTCCATGTTTCCTCTGATGTGGAGTGAAGCTTCGTCTCTTGATGTGATCAGGATGTGGCTCCAGACTCTGAAGACTTCCTACTTTAAGCTTTTTTATCTGCTGCTTCCTGAACGTCACAGTTCAGGTCTTTGGCTGCTTTCAGAGACGACGCCTCCTTCCTAGGAGCTCATCATGAAGATGGTTCATACTGGGCCTACTGGGATTCAGAGGTTTCACCAGTCTCTGTTGTTCCTGTGTTTAGTTCAGTCCTGGTTCTGCTTGTGGCCGGAGTGGATCCAGGTGTGTCATCCACTGAAAGGGAACCTGATGTTGTTGGCAGCAGCAGCTCAGCTTCCCTCCAGGAAGGGGTCACAGCTGAACAGAAATGAGCCCAGGTGTAGCTGCTATGAGGAGGAGAAACAGAGAGAGAACATGAGCTTAATGTCAGCATGACTGCAGACGATGGAAGGATGGAGAGAGTAGGAGAAAGTAGCAGAGGGAGGAGAAGTGGTCAGTTTGTCCTCCAGGAGGATTCCTGGAACATCTTCAGATTATAAATCTGGAACATTTCAATTTATTTTTCATAAGACATTTTCTGTCATTTTATTTCAGATTTAGTCTTTGGCCATCAGAGCAGAAAGGCTTCATAGAGGCAGAGGGAAATCTAAACATGAATCTGGATGTTCAGCCTCTGTGAGCTGAGTGATGCTAATCTGGACTGAAGCTTCAGCAACATTATCAGGTTTGTTGCCACATAATGAGGTTTTTAGGGTAAATCTAAACTTTAGATCTTCAACAGGAAAAAGTTGTTTATTTCAAAGAGCTGAGATATTTTAGGCCCATAAAACTAAAAACATGTTTTATTTAGAATATTAAACTCTACCAGCTCCTTTATGTTGCTGCAGCAACATGCATTCATATTAGCTGAACCTCTGCAGCTCTGATCTAAAGTTTGATAGTCGGGTCGGGATTCTGTGGTGCATTATTAGTAAGTCATCAGGTTTTTTTTTCACATGGAAACCACAAATAACTGCTCCATTGGACTAATTTCAATCTATATATTCATAGTTTTACTAAAAGAAAAGACACGCTTTTGTTTTGCATGTTTAGCTTTAGCCATATTTGGATAGGATCACAGTTTCCATCTGCTCTGGCTGACTTGATGTACTAAATAATGAAATATCAGTCAATAAATGAATCCTGTTTTCCTTTTCTTCAGATTGCTCACGTCACTGTTACAGCAATCCTGACACTTGGGACCGGTGACAGATCATGGGGGCTCGTCCGGGATCAGCATGCCACATGGAGTTACATGTTACTGGAGCCTGGATTGACCCAGTGAGTAGCAGAGAGGCCAGGAACTGGTGAAAATGGTGTACCAGCCTACAGAGTGACTGACTGAGGACCCATGCATCTGAGATCAGCAAGATGTCGTCTGGTGAGAGAAAACATTGTACGATGCTACTTTGGAGCATGAAGACAAAGTTACACCAGCTAACAGGTATCGAAGCCCACCTTACAGCAACTTCTCTTGGAGACGATGAAGGATTTTTTATATGTATGTATATATATATATATATACATATATATATATATCCCCAGTCTACAATGACTGCTAAACAACTAGTAGCTCAGTGTTCCAACATCCGCAAACGACAACTGCTATCACAACTTGAGATTGACGAGGTACAACACAAAGGGGAGGAGCCAGGACGCCAGGTCAGAAGGGAGTTAACTACAACTACCCGCCCAGAGACTGGGTATGTAGCCCCAGTAATGAACGAACTATCAAAGCTGAACGAGGCAGCAGGTGACCGAGTCAGGTCAGCTGGTTGTCTGGTNGAGAAAAGTTCAGAGCATCAAAGGTGGAGTGAAACCGAGTGTATCTGGGATTCATTTTAAATTTTACCCAGTTGCTAACGTTTGTCCATGACATCCAATGCATCAGATCCACACTAAGAAGTTTACTGGAAGTTTCTTGGGTTGTAAACATGATATGGAAATAATCCATTACCAGGCACTGTTATATGAAGTCACTCCATCAGGTTCATACGCATTTTGTGCATATAAGACGATCAATAGTGAAACATTTCTGATTGAAAACTCTTGTGCATGTGTAACATAGTTAAATCCTATTGAAATGCTGGTAAAAAGTTGTATTGCATTCACCCTAGAAAGAGCGGGGTATTATGGGTAATCCTCAGAGCCATGAGGATCACCGACAAGGTAACGTGTCTCTGCCATCCATCCATCCATTTTCTTTACACCCTTGTCCCTTAGTGTGGTCGGAGTACCTATCTCTAGCTAACGTTCTGGTCGAGAGGCGGGGGACAGCCTGGACAGGCTGCCAGTCTGTCACAGGGCAACACAGAGACACACAACCATGCATACACTAGGGCCAGAGGCGCAAAAAGTGGGTATGCAGCGTATGCAACGCATAGGGGCGCAGCACCAGAGGGGGCGCCAAAACCCCGTCTGGAGGGGGCGTCGCGCCGATTATGTTTTCCCATACACTTCAGCGCGCTTCACGCTCCTTCACCTCTTGCACATAATGAGGTAAATGTAGCGATTTCTACACTTCACGCAGCGTCGCCTGGGGGGGAAGGAGGTGGGGTGAGTGTCGCTCCTTCACCCTGACCGATTTATGTTTTCACATCCACCTGAATAATGTGCAGCTGAATAATGTGCTATACAAATAAAATTTGATTGGTTGGTTGGTTGGTTGCCATGGTTACTAGCACCTTTATGACAGATCTTTAGTCTGTCAGTAATATTTAAACCATTTTTAGTTTCCCTCTCCTCAAGGTTTCAGGTTCTTAGTTAAAGGTGACGGTTTCTCTGCAGACATCTGGAACCTGATGAAGAAACATTTTAAAACACAGAAATATGAGAGTTCAGAGTTACCTGAGCAGATGAACTCAAGGCTCTGATCGCTGGTTTCATCACCAGGTAAACAGTTCCTTAATGCAGATCCTGACTTCAAACAGTCAGTGAAGATCCCCCAAACTGGTCTCTCTGAAGCTTCCTCTGAATTTCTTGCTGAAACAGCAGAACCACAGTCCAGTTCAGCACAAACTACAGCAGCTGAGTTCATGTTCCAGTAACGACCCCAAACTTCCACTGGTCTCCAGTCTTCTTGATGTTTCATCTCCAGTCTCCCGGCACATCGGCTGGTCTCTCCCACCAACCTGATGTTGTCTGGACCTGAGCAGAGACAGAGAGTTCATTAATGCAGGAAGTGAAGCAGTGAACAGCAGCAGGTCTGCAGATCCTCGTCTACCTGAACAGATGAGTCCAACAGCTTGACCAGGTGAGCAGCTGTTTCTAACTGACCTCTTCCTGCTGCTGCACTCCAGCAGAGCAGACTCACTGCCTTCACACAGGAACTCTCTGCTCCCCACTGGAGCCTCTGCTTCTGCATAGAGCGCCCCCTGGAGGACTGAAGGAGACCCACAGAGAATCTCCCTGCAGACCACCTCTGCATCCTGCAGGTCAAAGTCTTTTTCACTCGCTGAGGACCACGACTGGTTGGTCTTCACCTCCAGTCTGCCTGAGCAACGGTAGGTCCCTTGAGCCAGCCTGACTGAGTCTGAGGATGCAGAAAGAAAAAAGGTTTAAAATCCTTCAGAACTTTATTTTAATAAACACACATGGAAACATCTCTGGGTTTGATAAAAATAAAGGTCAAGAAAACCAAACGAGAAAAGTTCAGAGCATCAAAGGTGGAGTGAAACCGACTGTATCTGGGATTCATTATAAATTTTTCCCAGTTTCTAACGTTTGTCCATGACATCCAATGCATCAGATCCACACTAAGAAGTTTACTGGAAGTTTCTTGGGTTGTAAACATGATATGGAAATAATCCATTACCAGGCACTGTTAGATGAAGTCACTCCATCAGGTTCATTCGCATCTTGTGCACAACACAGAGAGCATATAAGACGATCAATAGTGAAACATTTCTGATTGAAAACTCTCCCAGCAGAGACAACATGAGTTTTATACCAAGGCTGAGGGAGAGACGGTCTGGTTCTCATGCAGCTGCAGGAAAACATCTCCCAACCTTGTGCATTTAACCCAGACAGCTTCACTTGGTGAGAGTTCACCAGCATTTAGAATGAAGACAATATAACCAGCAGATTTTACCTGCAATAATTTGTCCACCACAAAACAGAGAAGAGCCGAATGAGGCGGCTGTTCATGTTAATTCAGTATTTGGACGTGTTGCCAACATGGACTGAACTGCCATTGCTGAAACTACAGACAGACTGTGATTCTAAAATAACACAGAAAATCAAGGCCATCGTTCAAACTTCTCCTTCTGTTCACTGATTGGTCCAGTAGAAAATCTACCAGAGGGAATCCAGGTGAAGGGGAAGAAGCCCAGACTGAGCTGGAAGTGAGAATCTTTTAAAGTGGAGTTTGAAACAGAACAGGAAGGAAATGGCCAGGATATGAAATCACCTGAACAGACGATCTGTACATATTCATCATCTCTTTGTATCGACGCCACAGATCCACAGTGCAGCTGTCTGCAAGCTACAGCTGCTGATTTAAAGTTCCAGTTCCAATATTTCACTGGTTTCCAGTCTCCCAGATCCTTCTTCTCCAGTCGGCCACCACAGCGACTCCTTCCTGCTGCCAGTCTGACTTCATCAGACAGAGCTGGAAGAAACATTTACATGTTGGGTTACAACAAGCAGAGACAGATTGATGTAGGATGTGCTGACAGGATCCTGTTGATGGTGTTTATGAGATCTTCTCTTAGAGGCAGAGCTATCAGGGACGGTTCTGATCACACCATCTTTATGCTGGAATGGCCTAGTTAAAGCCCAGACCTAAATGTTGTTTATGCTCTGTAGTAAAACCTGAAATGTTTTCATTATTCACCTTTTCTATCCATTTATATTGAAGTCTTTACTGAGACCAACCAAAGTCAAATTAATTGTTTTTGTGTAAAAGTTGTCAAATCCAGTTGATTCTGGTTGTGGTTCTGATTCTGGTTCTTATTCTGGCTCCGGTTCTGGTCCTGGTTCTTATTCTGGCTCCGGTTCTGATTCTGGCTCTGGTTCCGGTTCTGGTTCTGATCCAGGTTCTGGTTCTGATTCTGGTTCTGATTGTGGTTCTGATTCTGATCCAGGTTCTGGTTCCGGTTCTGGTTCTGGTTCTGAGAGCAGACCGATCATCATCATGTGCCTCAGCGGCCTGAGATCGGGTTCCATCTGTCTTCCTCCAGAATGAGTCGGACCCCCAGCAGTAGAACTGGACCCATTTGGGCCGATCACTAAAACAATCTACCAGAAACAGAAATAGTGAACGCAGCCGTCTAAAATCAAAGCTTCACTTCATGAACTCTCTGCCACCAAGTCACTGACCTGGTTCTGCTGAACTATTAGCTACTGACTTCATCACTGAGCAGAATGTTGGTGTTACGTTCCTGACA